GTGCCTACGTAAATGCCGTTCATCATGTTTTGTTTCGTCGTTTCTAACGGTGTAAAAGCCTGCACGTCTATTTTTTTACTATTTAAATTTTGCGTTTTTCGTGGCTCTTTATTTTGCGAATGATTGCTTTTACTTGAACTTTTGTCGATTTCCACACCCTAATAAAAAATGGGCATGGTTAATGCGTCTAATCCCACCTGAGAGCTGCAGTGTTCCCTTGCAACCATAAGGGCAGTCTCTTTTTTCCTTGTACACATGACTTTAATATATCCTTGAACCCACCAATCTCGCTGTTTTTTTCATCATGGCCCATGATTTCAAGAAATGTTGTTTGCGGATTTCTCCTTTGAAAAGGACTATATACGAATCACTAGTTTTGTGGCAACGTTGCGCACCGACTTGTGAGGTATGTGAGGTGTGCAATGCTCAGAGTTTGTTCCAGAAGTTAGATGAGCTGAAAGTGTGGATATCAGGTACACAGCCAGATGTCATTTCTATCTCAGGGACATGGTTCCAGATCGAAGTCTTGAATGCCGAAATTGCACTCGATGAATGCCATTTTTTTGCCTAAATAGGCTGCAAAAAAGGAGGGAACTAGTGATCTACGTTAAGAGAGCAATCGCCGCGTCAGAACACAAAACTGATTTGACGTAAGTTATGTCGTTTCCGCGAAATAACGAACTACGGCTTACTAATTTCATAAACGGAGAGAGGTAAGGAAGGCCAGTAAGTGAATAAAGTTAATATTCAAAATGTGCAACGGCCTGAGTAGAGAGCATGCAAGTGGCGCGAAGCTTACAGGCGGCGGAGTCTTCGTCACGTTAAAACAAATGCTACAGTAAAACAAACGTGACAAGATTGTCAAAGGTCAAGTCGTCAAGTACTTCAGCACAGATCGCCCCCGCGATTGCGAAGCACTGTAGTTAAAACTAAGGACGCTTTGTGTACCTAATCTGAATTTCCTGACCGTATACAGGCCGCCCAATCAGACACCTGAGGCTGTCGAGGTGGTGTGTGGGTTAATTAAAGAGGTGACACAAAACTAAGAGGTATTGATCACCGGAGATTTCACGCACTAATTGTCGACTGGAACAATTTACTAACAAATGATTCGCGAAATTCTTTTGGTTCGAGGGTCTTAAAACTTGCGGCTAATCTCTTTCTGGTAGAAAATGTCACGTTCACAAACAGGATCAGAGATGACCAAAGAGCAAATTGTCTGGACCTCTTACCTACAAGAAACCCGATTAGTGCTGGAGTACTTAGGCCCATAGCACAGCTCAGTAAGAGTGACCATGTCGTGCTGTTTTAGGAACACCGCCTGTGCAGCCAGCAAGTGAATAAGACGGAGTCTCGGCTGAATTTCTAAGGAGGAGATTTTGTCGCTATGAAAAGTGAATTATCGGTAGTTAACTGGCACGACGTCCTTACCGGACATCCAGATGTTGATTGGAACACTCTCAAAGGAGTTGTAGCATACGTCCTGCATCGAAACTGTCCGATAAAGGGAGTCAAAATACTGATCGTCCTGCCTGGGTAACACGGGATATAAAGTAAGAGGTAAACCGGAAGTATAAACTGTGGAGAAGGTATGCAATATCAAAACGACCATCTTATGATGAACAGTTTCGCCGAAAGTAAAACGAGGTAAGGTCGCCTATCCGCAGCTGGCGGAAAGAGTATAAAACGCGAGTTATAAAACGGGCTGTCGATAAGCCAGAAGCACTCTTCGGTTACATCAACAGTAGGCTAAAGGAAAAAGAGACGGTCTCAGTGTCAAGAGGAAAAATCAACGAGGATATCATCGAAAGTGATGCTAAGGCAGAACATCTTAGTCGGTTTTCGCATCTTTTTTCACAGGTGAAATGGACCTCGACAAGGCTGGACTGCTGACTGGAACAACCGACGACATAAAAGAAAACATTAACTTCACGGATGAAGATCTGAGGAAGGAACTTCTAGCGATTTAGAAGGGTTGGTCTCCGAGTCCAGACCAAATCCCGGCAAAAGTTCTGAAGGAGCTGGCTTGCGAACTCGCCAGACCGCTCTTGCATATTTTACAGTTGCCGTTTTACTGAGGCATTCTACCCTCTGATTGAAAATTGACGAACATATACCTTATTCACAAGGGTGGATCTCGAACAGGTGCAAACAATCATCAGCCCGTGAGTCTAACGTGCATTTTTTTGCAAAGTTATGGAAAGAATAGACAACAAAGCCATTATGAAGTTCCTTGAAGAATAAAATTTCTTTGTAGTTCATTCCTGTTTAACTAATATGTTCTATTAGATGGAGGAGTGGTCCCGCTCGTTAGAAAAAGTAACAGGGATCGATATTGTTTACATCGATTTCAAGAAAGCCTTTGATAGTGTTCCACACCACCGGCTACTTTACAAGGTCCGAAAGTATGGGAAAAGGGGGGATATATTAAACTGGGTAAAGGATTTTCTGACCGGCCGATCACAGACTGTGTGCATTGGTAGTGTGAAGTCAACGCCAGTGCCAGTTTCGAGTGGAGTTCTTTAGAGATCTGTGCTCTGACCACTACTGTTTTTAATTTTTGTCAACAGCGGTATGAATGGACTGGACTGCAATTCAGTAATGTTTGCCGATGACATCAAATTATGGCGGGTGATCAACGGGGAAAATGATGAACGGACCCCGCAAGAAGAAGGTCAAGGTCAAGCCGCTGGTTGTAAATTTGAAGATAAGTGGAGGATATTATTTTTAGTGGTTTTTCTGTGAGATCTAACGATTTTAGTACCCGTTTTTTTGGTTGAATTTCCTTAAATACAGGCCTTTTCTCTAAGAA